TTTGGGGAGTAACGGCAGCTGGAATTTGCTCTGAGTGCTCCCCCACCCTCCGAGAGTATTCTTCTCTCACGAGCGAGAGAAGTTCGGCTTTCCACTTTGGCAGTTCTTTGGGGCAGGCAATGTCTTTTATGCAAGGGTCGCAGAGTGCTGCCAAAACATGAGTCTTACTCTCCGTCAACGGTAGAAGACGTTTACGGAGGGCAAAATTCAACTTTCTGACCACCTCCTGGGCCTGTGGAGTCAGGGGCCCAGCCATAGACTGCAATGTACTGTGTCCACCCAGCGACTCCAAATCGCTCTTCAAACGCAAGATGACTGGGACCACATGGCTGAGTAGTGCTTTCTGTGATGAAAGTTTTTCGGTGGCCAGTTTGAATGGTTCAAGGATCTCAACCAGCTGAGTGATGGTCTTCCACTCCTGGTTGTTGGGGACCAGCTTGTTTATCGGAGCCTCAATTGATAGTGAGACAGCATGGACTGCCCTCTGTTGCTCCACCATGCGCTCCAACATGATGTAGGTGGAGTTCCAGCGGATGGGGACATCCTGCAGTAACCGGTGTTGTGGGAGGCCCTCTAGCATCTGCCTGTCACGCAGCAGTTTCGCGGACTTAGAGCTATGGTGGAAGAAGCCCGCGATTTTGCGGCAGCGCTCAATGAGTTGAGAGACAGAGGTGGCGCTGTTCTCATCTGGCCCCTTGAAGCCATCTTTGACGCAATTATGCAGCAAGTGCGCCATGCATGTTACGTTTGTGAATCCGGCATTTTCAACCGCACGGATCATGTTCCTTCCTGCGTCTGTGACCATGAATCCCGAGTTAGTTTCACCGGGATGAGTATGCCGCATCCACTCTCTCATCATCTCTCGCAAGTACTCAGAAATGGTGTTGGCCCTGTGATCCGTATCGATCACCTCAAGGGACAGGAGTGCCCAACGATGACCCGTGTCTAGGCAACCCTCCGCCTCCCACCAGTGAGCGGTCAGGGACAAATAGGAATGCCCTCCTCCCATGCTCGTCCAAATGTCAGATGTGAAATGTACATGTATGGGTCGTGATTTGGTCAACATGGTTCTGAGATGTTGCTTGCATCCCTCAAACAAAGCGGGAATGACTGTTCGTGAGAAAGTTTTGCGACTTGGGATATTGTACCATGGTGCAAGGAGTTGAACAAATCGGCGGAAACCTTCCCGTTCCACCATACGGAAGGGCTGGTGGTCCAGAGCCATCATCTCCCCCAGGCAACATGTTATTTCCTTCACTGATGGCGGCTTAAATCCAGATCTCACCCTTGTAACTTGCACGCCCCAAGCATCGATGGTTTTCTGCATGGGGCCTGTTGGTGTGGTTGGAGTGCTCAGTGTACTGCTGCATGTGCTGGCGACTTCAACTGCGTCCAACTTGACATTTGGGTGGTGTCTCTTCATGTGCATCCTTAGCCCTGTTGTGGCAAGATGCCTCATATCTTTTCCTCTGCTGACGCTCACACCGCAATGCCTGCAAACTGCCAAAGTGGCCCTCTGATTATGGACGTCATAATGATCCCATAGGAGCGATCTCGGCCTACCCCTGCTACGCACTTCAGGATTACTCATGCTCGTGTTTGGACTGTCGGTGTTTGTGGAAGGGAGTGTAGTTGTTTGTCGTTTCTGTTGCTCACCCTCCAGCAGCATGCAGTCCTCTTGATCACTCATTCCTGCGGTGGAAGCTGATTCCATATTGTCTTAATCCCATTCCTCTGACACGTCCGCCTCCTCACCCTCCTCTTCACAACAAGTAGTATCAGAGGTACTTGGAAGGACATCAGGAGCTGAACGTTGAGTCTTTTGAAATGATGAAGAAGGTTGTGCCATCTCACAGCTGGTTGAAGCATCTGTGGGTGTTTCAATAACCATCTCGTTGGTTGGAGGTTCCCTTCTTGTCAATGTGCTCATCTTAAGTCCCCTGTCTTTCTTAGATATTCGCGATTGCATTTTGCCCTTGCGACTCAAAAAGCCGGGAAGGAAACGTTTCATCACACTGGTTGGAACTGCACAAGTTATGAGGACTGTATTTAAGCCCTTTGTGGTGGGCAAAGGGGCGCACTGGTTGGAACTACACAAATGAGGAGGAGCACTACAGTTTGCGTTGCCTGAAGGGCACAGGAACAACTAAGTTTGTGTTGCCTGAAGGGCACAGGAACACAACTACACAGGAACAACTAAGTTTGTGTTGCCTGAAAGGCACTGGAGTCTGGAACAACTAAGTTTGTGTTGCCTGAAAGGCACAGGAACACAACTACACAGGAACAACTAAGTTTGTGTTGCCTGAAAGGCACTGGAGTCTGGAACAACTAAGTTTGTGTTGCCTGAAAGGCACTGGAGTCTGGAACAACTAAGTTTGTGTTGCCTGAAAGGCACAGGAACACAACTACACAGGAACAACTATGTTTGTGTTGCCAGAAAGGCACTGGAGTCTGGAACAACTAAGTTTGTGTTGCCTGAAAGGCACAGGAACACAACTACACAGGAAC